AGGGAGAGAGATAGGGAGAGAGATAGGGAGAGAGATAGGGAGAGAGATAGGGAGGGAGATAGGGAGGGAGATAGGGAGGGAGATAGGGAGGGAGATAGGGAGGGAGATAGGGAGGGGAGGGGAGGGGTGAAAGAGTGACTAGGGCGTACACGGCAGAGTCTTATCCTCTTAGCGTCTCTTGAGCCTTATGGCAGTCAAGCATGGACACACTAGATAGGCCACTGGAGTGGAACCTGTACAAGTATGCCTCTACATTTCAACAGGCACAAAATTCATGTCCACTCCTGCCTATTGCGTATGTCGCACGCTATTTTCTACCGCAGGGCTAAAACAGTCCAGCAAGCTCTAGTAAGCTTAAAAGGAAACCACGGTGCCTTGTACTTACCAATTCTAGTATGTTTCATACTATAGAAAAGGTATTCTCAAGGTCTACTAAATACAGTGAGGGAGCAATAGCTGACTCACCTCAACTACAGAGTCAACGACAATGTATCTCGGCTGGAGACTGTATTGTTCAACCGGCGAAGATACCGTATACCGGCGCTCAATAGCCCTTAAATAGCCAGAGCTTCAAAGAAACTTAAATTCAAAGGAAAGCGGCTTTCTTACACAGAGACCTGTAAAAGCAGTAAACGACACTCGCATAACGAAGAACTTAAAATTCAAGACCGCACAAATTGCAATGAATTAAGATGCCTTGCAACATGCAAGGAGCGTGAATGATTCGGTCCGAGGAATGTTCTTCTCGTAAAGTGGTCTCGGCCGCTTCCATACACAGGACTTATACAAAATTAAACTGCATCAAAAGGACTCTCTCTCATTGACATCAAAAACAAAAAGGAAGGAGACACCGGCAAATGTATGTACAAAACTTGCACTACAAATGCAAACTTCTGAAATGACTTAATCATCAACCATGAATGGTTGTCCATTGGGGGTCACTTCAAAAGAGCGGCTGTGGTAGTTATCATCAGTTCTGAAAAACTGTCCATACCTACCTGCAGATAATAACCGTTTAGTAAACTCTATTTATCTGCATGCTAAAGCGTATAAACCTGGAATGCTGGAGTATCTTCTTTGACAAAAAGTTTCTCCTTGTTGCAAACCAGAATCCATTAAAACTTCAGCCTGGTAACTTAAAGTCAAGCCTGGAAGCAAGTATCAACTGTGATCAGAAGTATCTTCACTTCCTAGCCATCATTAAAAGTTAGCTTCCGCTCTAAGTTTCATGCCGCTGCAGTCGATGGAGCTGCTTGATCAGAAGTTGGCGGCCTTCCTTTCCTTTTATTCTCTTTCTGTCTCTCCTTCCTCCGCAGTTTCGCCTCATGAAGAGTTGCTCCCATGCGATACTGTCTTCTGTCTCCAGATGAAGAGGAAGCTGGTCCGAGTGAAATAAACATTGGACCATGACTGTCCTCGTCAGTGGGCCTTGAGCACATAACCTCCGTGTCAATCATAGCAAAGTTCTCTGAAAAATTACAGATGAACTCCTTCGTGCTCACTGTGGAATTTTCATATTCCTCTTCACTCATCGAATGACCCCATTCAACAATGGTAGACAAACATGTATCTCCAAGCTGTGATCCCTGGTATTCTTCTTTTTCAACAGTAGAATATTCTTCCCAGAGTTTGTCAAAGTAAACTTCACACTGCTTGAGGACTTGTGAAGATGAACTGTAAAATGTTCTGGGAATAGGTGCTTTGATACCAGGATCTGCTTTTAAAGGGGCGTCTGAAAACCTGCGGATCCAATGCTGCATGGTGCTATAATAATAGTTAGCCATTGGCTGCCTTTTGTACCCAGACATTCTGTAGGCTAAGCTATTTGCATCACCAGAAATGATGTCCACCTCATAGACAAAACACTCATAAAGCATCAGTGCTGTCTGTTCTCCTGTCAGTAGGTGGGCATCCACAGCACGGTGTGTATCAACATGATAATTACAGACTCTGATGGTATGCATGTTCGCTCTAGTAAGTGGAACACGCTGGTCCTCAGGACCATAGTCATCAAATTCAAAGTCTGCATCCTTGAATTCTTGACGAGGCCTTGTTTTTCCAAAACAAATCTCGTAGATAGCCCAAGTTACATCACGCTGTTCACAGTGACCAAGGTCTTGGTCATGTCCAGCAATGATCTTGACATATCCACCTGGTGCCAATCTAGCCATCACTGCAAGATTCTCCCAATCATTGAAACAAACTGTCCAATTCTTTTGCTCAATGAATTCCTTGGCAGGAACAAGGAGATGAGCTTCCTGGAGAATCACGACATGTGCACGTAAAAAGAAGAGCATATTGAAGAAAAGGTTGTTCTCAAATTGCTCATATTGAAGTGACATGGCGCTCTGTTTGCGTGGCCTCATTGCACTATCAAGTCCTTGGAGAAACCTTGGTGTGGTGTACTTCTGACCACGAACCATGTTGCCATAGTTCCAGGATAAGAACGTCAAGGACTCTGAGCTGGCCGATAAGTTGGTTCCATATTGTTCTTCTATTCTTCCCTTGAGGAACCTTCTGCACAGCTCTTCATAGAAGGTGACAAAGTCCCAATTGGGTCCATTGGGACCATATGATTCCAGTTCTTCTTAAGTTCCTTCTTAGTATCCTCCAATTCTTCTCGAGCATGCTCTGCCTTTTCAAAGGCCTTTGGATCGACCTGATACTTGCCATCCAAATAACTGATGCGGTCATCATTGATGAAAAACCTCTTCAAATCATGCTCTGAGTCGTGCTCATAACAATCAGGTGGAGGTACTGGACAGACTTTTCGAATGGATCGAACAAAATCATCCTCGTTGATCCTCGACTGATAATGAGGATGGGAAATCTCACCTTTTCTGAAGCAAACATGGTTCAGCAATCTTGCGTGAGTTTCCCTGAAGCATTGTTGGTAAAGGCCAATACCTGGAACTCCTGTAAGCTCTCCAAGCAACTTCAGTGGTGAGATATGCAACTCATAGGTATTGTCATCATCCACTGTAGCCTTGTCAACAACTACTTCAGATGGAAAGGATTCTTGGATTTCAGCCTCCAATCTCTTCTCTCCATCATCCTCTCTGACCTCTTTTATCTTCTCCACCGCCCTTTCCTTCTCCTCAACAGTTGCATTATCTTGAACTTCTTCATGAAAATGAGGATCAGGAATTTTATTCAGGCGGCTTCTCTTAGATTTCGGCAGACTTGGAGTATCATCAAGGTTAGCATCCATCTCACCTGATGGTAAGTGCGATGCAGCTGAGTCCTCACCTATCTCTCTTGACAGAAAGTGTGGTGCTGACTCATCCTTGACTTCCTCCTGGTCCACTTCCATCTTTAGTCCCTCTGAAGGAAAGGCACCTGCATTCTCATCAAACATTTCTTCATCTTTCTCGAGTTCAACTGCAGGATCTTCTTCAGGGACTTCCTCTTCCATATCTTCATCTTTCACAAGTACCATACTACCAGTATGGATTCCACCAGCAATAGTGGAGACTCTTGTGTATGGAGGAACTTCTTCACCTGCCTCAAACGCTTGTTCTACGACATCCTTGGTGAGCAAGTCCTCTACAAGATTTTCTCCCATGGTCCTTGGAAGAGGTTCTGAGGTCTCATGAAAATCTGTCCTCTCTGAACTGAAAACTTCTGTTGCCTTCTCATTGTCCTTTTTGTCTTTGAAAAGATGAGTAATCTTCACTGCTTCTCCTTGTAGCACCTGATCACCTTCTCTATACTTGTCGACAATGGAGCGCCATACTGGCACATTATCATCATCAAAATCAAGCTCCATGTCATCTGCCAACAAGTTTGAGATGTTTTGAGCTGCCTGTTCTTCTTCTTCATCACGTTCTCTGGCACGCTCCTCATTCTTCTGGATCTTGTAGACACCCTTCAGAATGTTTTGTAGTACCTTTAAGTTCAGCTTCGATGATGGCTCATACGTCCCTGAACTTACAGGCTCAACTACAACACGAGAGCAAGAAATCGCCTCCAAAAACTTGGAATTGTATTGGCGTTCAAACTCTTCCTTCTTGATCATCTCATACAAGGGATCAGAAACTGCAACACGCGCCTGAACATATTCACGAAGTTGATAGCATGCATGTTGCACAAATCTGCTATTGGAGTTGTGAAGAAAACTCTCTAAATGATTCCTGTCACGGTCAATCAAATACCACACAACTCTTGCAGAAAAACGGAATTTCTTGAAGTTCATAGCAAAATGCCTATGATACTTCTCTGGATCTCGTTCTGCGTATAAGGCATCCTCTGAAGTCTTGTAAACAGGGAGATTTGTGACTGGATCCAAAATCATAAACTCTTGCCACAAGATCGAGTGGTCAAGAACCCACTTGGGAAGCAGCTTGATGAAAAAGTCACAGACAAGTTCAGACACAAGGTGCATGACACGACCAATCTCTTCCTCCTGCTTGAAGCGATAGTGCAATTTGGCAAATAAAGGATTGTTGAATGCTTCCTCCACTGTGTTGCCAAAATTATCCCACTGAGGTCCTGGAATACCAAAGTTCCAACCCAGCAATTTGGGATCTCTGCACATATCCAAGAAACTTGAAAGTTCTATAGATTGAATACCATGGTCTGTCAGAATTTCAGCCCAACGGCGTCCATTCTCCCAAGCACGGATGAAGAAAAACTGTTGATATCCAGTTTGTGCCAATT